TGACTGACCAATGAGAGGAGAGTATGCTACACACTGCAGTTAGCTAACACTTTCACCAAGTGATTACTGAAAAGCTTTGTGGGAATTTATTGGCACCAGGGTGAAGTTTATGTTAAGTTTTTTCCTCATAAAATGTGTATCTTGATGTGTGTTTGTTTTTCAATATCCTTAGCATCGCAAGATTTGTTTAGTTTACATGTCCGTAATGCACACCCGCCTTCAGAGTCAAGAACCAATCAAATTTTGTGAAGACAAGCGACTTGAGAGCGCGATTCGCAACGATGCTATCGCGTCCCGTGTGTCGGGTTCACCCTGGCTGCGATGACAGCCGTTAATCGCTGTAGTTTGTCGCTCCCCGTGTGTCGAGCCTATTAAAGAGTTTTTTGGATGCCCAGATAATAAAGAATTACAGTAATCCAGTCTAGATGTGATAAATGCATGAATCAGTTTTTCTGCATCATTTTTGGACAAAATATTTCTAATTTTAGTGATATTATGCAAGTGGAAGAAGGTGGTCCTGGTAACATGCTGTTCTAGGAAACCTACAAGTTTACTTTGAGCCTATTAAAAAAACTTCTCGATGTATCTATTCTGTAAACACAGAAATAAAGTTTAAGAGTTCCATCTTAATACTGGTCTTTGATTTACTTTATGTTGACACATACTCCCTCAGTAGCGAAATGAAAACAGAGAGTAACCTGGCTTTTTTGCTAGCTTCGTGTAATTTTCCAGATTTTTAGCAGGGAGCTCACCCTGCGTAGCAGGTAACAGCAGGTACAGGAAGCTGCAGTGGCCAAAATACCTCCAGAAACTCGCCCAAAGAAGCAAATTTTGTGAGATTCAGCATTTTATACTGGATTACATTTTGTTTGGTCACTTCTGCGTTTCTGTCCATGTTTATTTATCAGCTTATAAACAGAAGTGGAGCAGGAGAAGGTGTATTCTGATTGGCTGTTGTCACACATTTCCACCATGTTTGATCGAGTAAAGAGGCTCACAGCTGATCACTGTAATTGACCAGAAATTTTTCTCGATCATTAATCAGGATCAAATAATCGCCCTGCCCTATCACAAGGACTTGCAATTTTTATTTAATGCATTAGTCTTGGTGCATCCTGTCAACCGGGGGAATTGTTGGATATTTTTCTGCCCTGGCAGCCTGATGTCTCAACTTTTCTGTGACGAATATCACGTCATGATTAACCTTGTTCGTGCCACTTTATTAACTGGGATTGTTCATGGCTCTATTGCATAGTTTACTCATATGCACATGTTTAGGACTACCAGACTCACCCACTGTTGAAAACCAGTTAAAGCCACACCTTTTTTTTCTGCTTGGCCTTCAGAGGAGTCGGACGCTTTTGCTCTCTCTCCCGAACCTGTCCCTCCTTCCTGCTTCACAGCTTTTTCAAGCCTTTCTTCTACCTGTCATCCAAAATCAAAAGGAGTTATGGTTCTGGTCAACTGGTCTCTGAACAAAATCAACACTTTTTCCACACTGAGATTGGAGTGAGTAGAGCGCAGCTGTCTCAGTGGAATGGTGGCGGCCGTTCGGGTCACTGGTTCTTGGGGTAGGAACCTGATCTATTTGGCGCTGCTTTCCATTGAAGACGTGGAAGATTTGTACAAATTTGGATTTATGACAACTGGATTCCTGCTGATCAGCTGTGGAGGAGTTCTGGTTTATCAGAAAATGAAAGCAATCCTGACAGCAGTCCGTGCCTGTGAAAAGCTGTCAGGAACCATAGAGAGTATCTCTCATACTGGAAACGCACAGACTCAGATGCTGGGGGATATAAGTCGCAAACTGGATGTGATTCTGATAAGAATCACAGTTCAACAGTGTGCCCGTGAGGAGTAGGATTACACCTGGGTGAAGTTTCAGGTGGAAACGGAGGCAAGGAGGTGATGGTATTCTGAACATTCTGCACTTTTTTCGTCATTATAGAGATGCAGTTAAGACTGTAAAGCAGCAAGAAAATCAAGGCTGCTTGTCCCAAAACAATTATATTTATCTTTTGGATCCCTGCAGCTGCTGACATTGGCGCTCGGCAGTGATAAAAACGTCCCTGGTTGACACGTGAATGAAGGCTTGTTTCCCCACTCCCTCCCTGTATCATCCGTGGGTGGTCCAGTCCGAAGGCCACGGTGGTGGGATAGAGAACTGAACTCTGATAAGCTGATATTGGGTTGATAACAATTGGTTTTGGACTCTGGAGGTCTCTGATTGGTTCCAGCACGGAGTATTACTCAGCTGCATCCCACCCTGTACCATGTGTTTTCCCCAAAATTTAGTGCAGTCAAAGAGAGAGGCCTCTTGCAACCATGACCAGTGTCCCAGCGCCAGACTCTGTATTATTTCTCTGATCAAAACAGATAAAATTGATGTAAATTTATTAAATTCTCTACCATGTTTGTGATGTGTCCACCTCTCCACCAAAGCCAAGATGGGAAAAGAGTAAAGGCTGGTTTATACTCTGAGTTACACATCTTGGACCCTCTGCTGAGTGACAAAAAATCGCACAACTTCCGTCTGCTATCCTGCTGCTACCACCCAGTGACAGCTGTCGAGTGCATTACCCCCAGTCAGAACTCTGTGATGCAGAGCGTGTGATTAGTCTGAACTTAGTGTGTGTGTGTTTATGAGTGACGCAGCGCTGTGGAGCAGGACCAGAGCAGGACTCCAAGCAGCGCTTCTTACTCCATGTCATTTTGCTGAAAATAATTTTTTCTGATAGTTGAGTAAAAATTAAAACTTTATCACTAAACCTATTTTTACTTGTCTATGAGTGGTTTGAGAAATTATGATAATAGCATGTTGTGTTGAAAATTTGTGCAAAAGATGCATGTATTAACTTTCTAAGCATGAAAATAAACCTGCAGTATTCTTGTTTCAAATTGCAATAGGAAATTGTTTTTCTTCAAGATGCACTGAAAAGCCAAAGATAAAGTGAAATAGATGGGGAATTTTTCACAATAATTTTACATAATTATACATATTGAAAACCCCTCTGTTGCACAAAACTGTTAATATAAAGTAAATTTACATGTTTTAATGTTGAAATTGCCTAAAAATACACAAAGAAAGAGAGACAGAGACATTTAGAGTCTGGAAACATGAAATTTCAGAATGAAAAGTTTGTAGGAATTGTGTTTTTGTTTCCTTCTGTTTAATTGTTGAACTTTTAACATTTTCTGAAACATGTCAGTGTAAATTTTACTTCACTGTGGTCCTCTTCAGGCTTATGGTTCAATGCATTTCTGTGTGTTGTAGGACTCTGAACCACCAGTACGACTACACATTTGACTGGACCATGCTGAAACAGAAAGCAGCCCAGCAGGGAGCCACCTCAGGGGGCCAAGGCCAGCAGGCACAAACCCCCACAGGCAAGCAAAATGACAAACCCAAGCCTAACATGAAAGGTTAGTAGCTAACAGCCAAGTGACGTTTTTTACAGACACCAATTGCTCATATTCATTCAGTCTTGTGTAGAGAATTATTAGTTATGTTTGAATACAGTGTCCGTTTAAAGAAATTTACTGCCTGGCCCAAAAAAAGTCACATTTTTTTGTTGGACACATCTCATAAATTAATTTTTGATGCTTCTTGAGCTGTTCTCACAATTTGAGCCTGATAAACTTCGACATTGTCATTTGGGAATATGACTGGGCCATCAGGGAAAATAATCAAATCTGGTTATTCAGAGTATTACCACTTGACCTCATTTTAGGCTCACCATACTGCTAAAGCTCACCTGACCAACTTAAGAAACTCCAGATAACTACACTGCTCTTACTGTAGTGGTAGTCACAAGATGGGTGCAACGCTGGATCTGTTGTACCTCTCAACTTAATGTACCCATCACTTTGAAACGGACTAAATTCATCTCATACGACCATCCCATGCTTCTTTTAAAATGGTAGTTTACCACCATTCTTTCGTATTTGAAAGGGCATTGAGCAGTTTAACCCTATTTTATAGTTGCATCAGTCTCAGTAGTTATTTTGTTTATTTCAAACCACTTTTTAATTTGTGTAAATCAACATGTCTTTGTGAGTGGGACTACGGAACAGTGAGCTGTCCCCTCACAACATGAAGGACAGGTCCTGTCCTTTCTGTGTGAAGTTTGTATGTTTTCCCTGTGCATGCTTGGTTTTCTCTGGGTACTCTGGTTTATTCCCAGGGACCTAACCCCTAATTTACACTAGATACAACTCCGCTGCGCTGCACAGTTCGCAGCTGTTCATTTGTACCCCAATTTATACAGCGTACTCTCTGCTCCGGTGCGACGCACAGAGGACGGAGCCTGTGCAGGAAGGAGATTGCGCGATAAATCCAGTGATAAATGTGGAAGTCAGAGCAAAAATAATTAATTCTGTGAAAGATGAACTTCAAACACAGCTGAAAACATTGATATAAAAGCTTTTGATATATCTATGGTTGAAACTGTCTCGCTGTCGTCTTTTTGAAACTTCTGATTTCAAAATAAAGTCCATGTGTATCGTGTGTGTACACGTATGCTTCATCTACATGTTGCTATCTGCTTCTCAAACAGAACCATACATTCTGTATGTAGACATATGTCCTTATATTTATTAATGTAGCTGGGATTTTGACAAAATTAGGATCCCTTTTAGTGACTTATTTTGAAAATACAGATGTGCTTGTTCCTTTTCCTGTTGGTGGGATGTGATCTCTGTAGATAGACTCTGAAGCAGCTCCGGTGTCTGGCAGAAAGGATCTGATTTTGGCAGATCACCATCAGTTCACCACCGTGCGGAGCCAGTGTAAATACTCTCTTTGATTATAATGGTTGCGTGTTTACTGCGGAGGTCGGAGCAGAACTGCATCTAGTGTAAATTAGGGGTTAAACATGCATATTAGGTTCATTGGTAAATCTAAATTGCTCCAAGTTGTGGGTGAGAGTGGTTATTTTTGTTGTCTCTGTGATCTTCTGATGGACTTATGTGTCCAGGGTGAATCCTGCCTCTCGCAGAGTAACTGCTTGAGGTAGACACCAGCTTTTGCCACTCAGAAAGAACAAGCGGGTAAACAAAATGGATGGATGGACTATGCTTTATACAACCACACAACTTCTAGTGATTAATAAACAAACTACCCTCTACACGGGTTGTATCAACTTGTTGTCAGCAATAAGGTAATGACTACTACAGTACTACTGCCTAATGAAATGTATTTGTAAACTGAAATCAAGGTTGTGACTTTTTTTGGTCAGGCAACTTTTAACAACAAACTAATTGCACCAAATTGGAAACACAACATCCAAGTGGCATTAGTTTAAAAGAAACCCTAAAACACCAACTTTAAAAGAAGAGAGAGAGAGAGAGAGATAAACAATCCAAAACTATTCAAAAGTACAATTGGTCTGTCTTGCAGAAGCAAGGACGTCCTTGGGGAATTTGGCTACTAACTTTGCTTCCATATTGTTCTGTTCATGTGTTAAGGCTGGACAACAGACTCTCCAAAATGACATTGTGCTGATGCTTTCAAACTGGCTCTGATCACACACCTCTTACTGTACTCTACTTTCTTTTTGATCATTCCCTCTCACTGAAATATTTAAAAGCCTTATTTTGAACTCTTTTCTAACAACCTTCTTCAATTTGGCCTGTCTACACTGTCAGGGGTGTTAAAAACTACTTGTAGCCCTTGTAGTTATGTCTTTTTCAGAACAATAGATCATTCAACTAATATAATTCCTCACAAACGGCTACATGATGACACTGCTGTCTAGTTCTGTCTGAAGTCAGGGTACGTTCATTTAGCTGTTACAGGATACATATCATGGTTTTAAATCCTTTTTTTTAGATTTAAATAATTTAATTAGGGTCTACATAAATGGATTTGCAATTCTTTGGTTTGAATTCCTTATTTTTGTAACTCCACAAGGCGTTCTTTCACCCTTTTCTGAGGTGACTGCAAGTTGTTTTGATGCAGTCTCTTTAAATTCAAACAAAGCACTACACACACACACACACACACACACACACACACACACACACAC